TACACGATACGAACCTTTTCTGAACTAGGCACACACTGTACACCTAGGAAGCAAGCTACCCTGGTTAACTATAGGTATTTATGATGGTTGTGTTTTAAATAGAACCATACGATGGACTTACTGTATTTTACACAGTAAAAGCACAATAATATGTTTACCAATACAGAAATACATGTGTTTAGTGACCTTTGAAACTCTAGTATACCTGAATGGATCTGAATTGGCACCAGTGTCTTGGCATGTACTCGAACAGATAAAATTACAACAGTATCTTTAGAGTACAACGGAAATCCATAATAGAAGTACACACTAAGTGCACGTCCTAGCATTCTTATGTGGGCGTGTGCCATTGGTTCGGAAACTGAAACCCTCAATATTTTAATGCAGTAACTATGCATTTTTGTTTATATTATCAAAGCTGACCTCGCTCCCCTTTATTTATATCAAAATAGTATATATGATGCTGAAATACATGATACCAGTATTCTCTGTGCATCAAACATTCAGTGGGGGGGGGGGGGGTATTGGCGAGCTGTAAATAATGATCTTGGCAATATTTCACATTTTCCTGAATCTGTTGACTGATTATAATATATTAAAAATTCTGAAACTTGTTAAACGTGCTATAGTAGACGTTTAAAGGATTGACAAACTAAATTATATAATATATATAAACACATGCATATATAATATATATATACACATGCATATATATATGTACTCCTATAAAGCCATATAGATCCTTGTGGTTTGGGAAATGGGTCGTTTGCCTGACAAGTAAATTTACTATCGAAGAAGAAAAATCGGCGCAACTTGAAACCGACGATCGAGTATCAGCTGTTGAGAAATCCTAAAGGGTTTTATAACCTTAATCTTTTGACTGGGTGGAAAAATGTGTCAGAATTTGGACAAACCAAACTTAGAATTCATGATATGCCTTCAAACACTCTCAGTAAATGGCACGATCAAGTTAGTGTTCCTTCTCAACTTGAATGACTCTTTTAAATTATTATTGTGATGAGATTCGGGAAGAGTTCCCCTGTCAATTGCATTTTAGTGCCAGTGTTGTGACAGTACAGTTGAAAATGATGTCAAAGATAACAAGTTCCAATATTTATAGAAAAGACTTTTCGGACAGTAAAATCCAAAAAGTTTCTCTTGTTTTTCTACGTGAACAAAATAACCTTAAGAAACTGCACAAACACCGAAATTTGTTTAATCTCGCTGTGCTTGACACAGCGTATATTCTACATGTATAAACAATTCGAAAAAGATTAGGATTTATTTTATGATCAGTAGTGGAATACTGCGTTTTATCAGTGAAATAAAAGTGTTATTCCACTGGCTAGTTGTTTTTACCTAAAATGATTGTAAAATCATAAAATAAATAGAACATTTGTCGTTTTGTCGTGAATAACATATTTTATGTCATCTCTAAGCAAGAAAACGTTTATATTTTCACTCATGCTGCGCATTCGTGAAAATATAAGTTTTCTTGCTTCTCGATGAAATAAAATATGTTATTCACTCTAAAACGACAAATATCCTCTATATATTGTCCCCCGCCTTTCGAAGAAAGCAGGGGACTATTAAAATGGGTTCGTCCGTCTGTCTGTCCGTCTGTCTGTCCGTCCGTCCGTCCGTCTGTCTGTCCGTCACACTTTTTGGGACACAATAACTCTCTTCCTAATTGAGCTAGAATGTTCAAACTTGGTGTATGTGTTTATTAGGTCAATGCCTTGATGGAGTTTGAAGATGAGCATTTTCCGCTTAGGGTAAGCAGAGATAAGCAATTTGATTGGTTGATGCTTTGGGACACGATAACTCTCTTCCTAATTGGGCTAGAATGTTCAAACTTGGTGTATGTGTTGATTAGGTCAATGCCTTGATGGAGTTCGAAGATGAGCATTTTCCGCTTAGGGTAAGCAGAGATAAGCAATTTGATTGGTTGATGCTTTGGGACACGATAACTTTTAATTGAGCTAGAATGTTCAAACTTGGTGTATGTGTTTATTAGGTCAATGCCTTGATGGAGTTCGAAGATGAGCATTTTCTGCTTAGGGTAAGCAGAGATAAGCAATTTGATTGGTTGATACTTTGGGGCACGATAACTCTCTTCCTAATTGAGCTAGAATGTTCAAACTTGGTGTATGTGTTGATTAGGTCAATGCCTTGATGGAGTTCGAAGATGAGCATTTTCCGCTTAGGGTAAGCAGAGATAAGCAATTTGATTGGTTGATGCTTTGGGACACGATAACTTTAGTTCTAATTAAGTGAGATTGATGAAACTTGGTGTATAGTTTCATTACAGTAATACCTTGACTAAGTTTGATAATGAGCATTTTCTGCTCAGGGTAAGCAGAGCGATACGCAATTTGATTGGTCGAGACTTTGGAAAACAATAACTCTCCTACTTTGATTGTTAGACTATAAGTAAAGATATACTGTTTGATTGTTCAATACTTTGTAAAAGATAATTTGTGATAAATTTATATGTGTCCTCTAATTATTTTCCTATTTCGGCGGGGGACATCAGCCTCACTGTTGGCTTGTTTCACTTAAACCCACTTTACTTTATAATAAGAAGTAAAGTTTGATAATACTGTTTATTCTCTCAAAGGTCTTTATCGGAAAATTTTTGTTCTTGATCCCAACAAAAGTCCAAATTCCTAGCTACTGGCAGATAGATCATGACAAGGCTTTCAGACTGAAAGAATTCAAAGCGACTAAATTTGCCACGATATTCATTACATAAAATATAGGACGTTAAACCCAATTTCGTTAACAAAAAATGCTTAAAAGGCTGGAAAGCGTTCGTGGCTATTTATCCGATCCAATATTATTACCGCCCAGAAGGGAATAATAAGAACGAAATTAATCGGCCTATAAGGAGGTAAACGGTAACCTATTTTTACCGTTCGATAAATTTCCGATCGCCATCTTTGGAACATAAAGGCCAACACGGGGCTTTTGTTACGGAGTCAGTTTAAAAGACACTAACCCCAGCGAAACATTATATATGTCCATCACACATACGGAAGCTTTAAATTCAGGAATATTCGAGATAACTCCACAAAAAGAAAAAAAGTATTTCAAGACATTATAGTTTACCAAGCCTAAAACATAAGATGCGCATATTCTGGAAAGTGGACCTTTATGTCCATATGATGGAGGTCATAAATTTACTGAACGGTAAATAGAACAGCCAATTGTTTGAAGTCCGCTATACATTAAACCAGTATAAAATGTTTATAACAGATTGCTTATAACGATCTTGGATATTCATACAAATTTGCGACGTTAGACCTCATATTATTTCATTTTTATATCAGCAGCAAACAATGCAAAAACAAAAAAATGTACTTAAAAGTCTGGATTGCGTCCGTGGTTATGATGGGAATCGAACCCACGTGAACCGGTTTTCATCCAGTTTTGATACCACTACAAACGAAGTAACCACTAGACTAAGCCAAACCGACATTATCGCGTTAAAATAGCTATAACCATAGTTGATCTATCAACGAGCAACACATCGATTTATTTATAGACTAATGTTGAAGCCTCTTAACCAATATAAACATGTTTATAAGCGATTGGTTAAAAAGCGGTGCATACGATCTTTAATATTCCTAAATGTCTGTAAAGATATTAATTGCATTAAATTAAATGTAGAACGCTAAACCCCATTCCATTTCATTTACAATAACACATTACACTGGAATAGGCTACACAAAAGAAAAAAAGGCTAGATAGCGTCCGTAGTTATTATGGGTATCGAACCCACAGTGACCGGTGTGACAGACAGGTATTGAATTTATTTCAAACGAAGTAACCACTAGACTAAGCCAGCCAGCAGTGAAATGTAGAAGATAATAATATAAACCACCGTAAGATTAAAACACAAGTCACTGGTATATTTTTAGATTGTGTTACGAAATGAAATGGGGTTTAACGTCCTACTTTTCTGCTCCGACTGGGATAATAAAGACGGACACACGCCATATATAGTGTACTATGAGGGAAATTTTGCCCGGACCGCGGAGCTACGTACGGCCTTCTCTTGTATCGAATTCCAACTGCCAAGGGATCTTTTTACGTGCATCCCAATCTGTACACGTGACGTGTTTTTCACCCATTCGAACGACTAGACAGCTGTCCTGGCCAGACACTCCGCCATGTCCCATTGACTGTGATATGCACAGTCAAATATATACATTAGTATACTATCTAAGTATGTATCGTATGTACATGTACATGTACATCAGAGATTGATTTACGCTAAGAATTCGAGATACTAAACCTATGATTTACACCAGAACCTATCAGAGCGGATACAGAACTTTCCAGAAGGGGGGGGGGGGGCGGTGCTAAACAAAACCTTGCCGAGTGTAGCCTTTGCATAATTAGAATATAAAAACCGATGCTAAATCGTAAAATAATTTCTATTTTCCGAAATCAAACAAAAGTTGCATGTTAAAATTAAAATAACTTTTCTTTAAAATGTTCTGCAAAACCGTATCATTTATTGTGAATCCACTCTTCATGTAAGATCACAACATCAATGTTGATTTAAATTGACAAGTAATTCGTGTTTTCATTGTCGAAGAATTTTGATGATATTGAGTTAGAGACTTAGCTACTTTAAACTGCACCATATTAGCACCATTGGTAGCCTAAATCCCCCTTGATAGTTGGTCAATCGCTCACTCTTATACTTGAAAGGAGTAGGGTCGGCTAACTTCCTGATATATCTCCGTGCTTTCCGCCCATCGCCCAATATATATTATATATACTAGCTCCCTGCACACAATCGAATTAGTGAAATACAATATTGTCCCGAAATGACCTGGTTTATGTTGCGTGGACGTCCCCACCCACCCACCCTCTCTCTCTCTCTCTCTCTCTCTCTCTCTTCCTCAGACTCTCTTTCTTTATCTTACAAAAGAACCAAGACCATGCTTGGCCAAGGCTATTTCGATAACATACGAATGACAAGTGAATAAAATAATACAAGTATTTTATTATAAAATAATTTACAAACTTGTCAGTGTTCAAACTAATGAATAATTTATCAAAAAACAACTATAGATATACAAAGGAAAGATGAAATGGCACAGATTAATGTTTTCATAATGTATATATGTTGATAGAAAGTACATTTTATATGTATCCAACTTTTATCCTTAATCTTTATAAAAGCGGTATGATTAGGCTGAATCAACATTATTACATATTACACTTACATATAAAACAGTATGCTGAATCAGCATTATTACATGTTACGCGAGAGTGATCAACCTTTCGAGCTAGGGTATTGCATTTGGCATCAACAATATAAATATTATATATTTTGGCTGGTATATGGCCCCTTTAAATAATAGGTTATATAGTAATGCAAACAGATAATTTTTGGGGATAAAACCGTAGCCAAAATATAATATTTATCGTTATCTACAAAAAAATGCACACACTCCCTTTGTATTTATTTATGTTTTGTATAAGCTGTTTTGTCCTTTTAGTAAACCGATCTTGTGGCAATCCACGACCAACAATGGAAAATGCTGCTGTTGAAGCCGTTAGGTCAAGAAGAGTGAAGGTAGTGATTAACTGAAGATAATGTGATGAACAAGGGCACTAAACATGCAGATATCTACATCTATAACATTAACAATTACTAGTCATTTCCGATGGTCCAGAAACCCAGATGAGACCGACACCAATAAAAAAGATTGTATACTATATTGTTTTCCGCGTTTTCGCATCTATACCTAGAACCCTAAATCTCGCCTCTTTCTGCAGTGGCATCGGAGAAACTGATTATAGATTCAGGCTTCAATTGTAGACTATTACAACATTCACAGACAATTCACCAATATTCACACTTTTTAATCTGGACCATCGCACTAGTATTAAGAAAATTCTTAAATACAAATATTCGAAATTTACTTAGAAACGATTTTTCGTTTCAAGTTCTAATTGTTTGTGTGATTTTCGCCAGTGTTGTAGACTCAATCAACTGGTCAATCGCTGCAATGTAACTATTTACATGACATTAGTGCACTGAGTGTTCTTGGCTGTAACTTTTTCTTGAAAATGTTTTTTGCAGTAAAGGATACCATCAGCTTGGGCATAGTTGTTTAATCTGTAATAGAGAAAAGTAGCCGTTAGATTTTAGATAGTGAGGTAAACGGAGTTGTAAAGAGAGGTTTATGTGATGAATCGTTTAATGTTCTCGAAGCATTGGGTTCACTTTAACCCCAGCGCAATGTAGACTATTCGAGGGTGGGCAGTTCTTAAACTTCCAAATACCCATGGTTTCAAATAACATCCATGTCTGAAGTATCTAAATCATCCGAAACGCAAATAAATAGCAAATTATTATTGTAAGTCATCTGGTATCTCGGGGGCGGATCCAGGGAGACCCCCCCCCCTCCCCCCGCTCAGCTACATAAATTGTATGAGAAAAGTGTCACAGTCGTGTGCTTTATTCTTTATCATCAGATGATGGGATGGGCATTCAAAGCGCAAATTAATGATATAGATATAATTATGTGATATTACAATCATCAAAAAACATCCACGCCGCTTATTCTCATAATTATTGTGAAAAACTCTATTTTTGGCTTTTGTCAAGTAATCTGTGAGCCAGGGACCTTATTCACGAAATTTTAACTAAGATAAAATCAAAATTTTAGTTATTTGATTGGATAATATTAGTTTGATTTTAGTGCTTAGCCAATCAAAACTGAAGTATCTACTAAAATTTGGATTTTATCTTTAGTTAAGATTTCGTGAATCAGGGCCCAGGCGTATTGGAAAAAAACTAATAAACGAATATTTCGTGTGATCAATTTTTATACGCCCACATTTTTATGCGGACGTATTATGGCGTCGCCCCTGTCCGTCCTTCTGTCTGTCCACAATTTGTTTGTGGACTATACAGGTCACAATTTTTATCCCATTTTGCTACGAAACTTGAAATATAGGTACATCTCCCAGAGATCTAGGTTCCTTTCGATATTGGCATGTACCGGCCAATAACTTCATGGACTGTGGCCTATGATTGTACGAAAAATCACGTTTTTAGCTTGAGGACACTACACTCTAGAGGTCACAATTTTCATCTGATTTTGATGAAACTTGAAATGCATGTTGATAACTCAATGATCTTGGTTCCTTTCGATATTCGCCCATATCGGACCGTAACTTCGTGAATTATTGCCCCTGATTGTACGAAGAACTACGTTTTTAGCAGATATAACTCTTACATAATGATAGTCTCGGTCACCCAGAACCTCCTCGTCTTCAACGTAATATTCGCAGAAAGAATATTTTTCTGGGGGATAGAGACTAACGTAATGTATGTTTAAAGAACACAATGTTTTACTTACTTCAAGGCCATTTTACAATCGGTACATTTAAAGCAGTTTTTGTGAAATATTTTCCCACCAGCTTCTTGTTTTTCCTGTGGGTAGCAGGTTTTCTCACATACAGCACATTTATCACCACCTCCCTAGAACAAAATACAGCATAACCAGTTTAAAGATGGCGAAACATTGTTGATGTTACTTAACCAGATTCAGTTATTTTTTCAATGGTTAAATTACTTAAACATAATTGGGAGTGGAAGGGCGGTCGGATCTTTCCAGATTATTTTTTTTCAATAAATGATAATTTATTGGTTGATTATTGATAATATTTTTAAAGGGCATATGTCCTTATTCTTTGGAACTTTAAAATATACGAAAATAAGATTAAAAGCAAATATTAATGTAATATGAATGTATTAAAGTGATTTATATTCAATTTTTAACTTGAACAGCAGTCGTTCAAACCTTTTTAGTCATTCTACACGTTTATGTTATTTTATTATTTTGTCGTTTGTGAATCAGCCATTACAAATTACTTCCGCATTGCCTTGATATATATTTTTATTGTAGACGTACTATGCCGTCGCCCCTGTCCGTGACATTCTACAGGTCACAAATTTTATCCGATTTTTAAGAAACTTTAAATATAGGTCTATCTCCCAAAGATCCCGGTTCCTTTCGATATTGGCATGTATCGGACCATGACTTCATGAATTATGGCCCCTGATTGTTCGAAAAATCACGTTTTTAGCTTGTGGACACTCTAGAGGTCATAATTTTCATCTGATTTTGATGAAACATGAAATACGTGTTTATAACCCAAAGATCTTGGTTCCTGTCGATATTCGCGCATATCGGATCGTAATTTCTGCATTATGGCCCCTGATCGTACGAAAAATCAGGTTTATATTTGCGGTTCCTCAAGAGGTCACAATTGTTATCCGATTTAAAAACCCCTTCGAATATATCACCGTTAAACCGTAATATCGGTTGAGTTCGAATTTTGTGACCGCACCTCGTAAAAATATGGTATATCAAGGTTGTGGCTAGAGGTCACAATTTTGATCCGATTTTGATAAAACTTGAAATACATGTTTATAACACGATGATCTCAGTTCTTGTCGATATTCGTGCATATCAGAATGTAACTTCCTGGATTATGGGTCATGATTGTACGAAAAATCCCGTTTTTAGCTTGTGGTCCCTCTATAGGGTTCACAATTTTTATCCGATTTAAAAAATAAACAGTTACACCCTAATGACGGTTGGGTTTGTATTTTTTGAAAATCGGAGCAAAACTGCTGGATAAAATGGCCGCCCCTAGTACACAAATAGTGTAAATATATGGTATATCAAGGTCGTGGACCCTCTAGAGGCCACAATTTTGATCCGATTTTGATGAAACTTTAAATGCTTGTTTATAACCCAAAGATCATGGTTCCTGTCGATATTCGCACATATCGGATGGTAACTTCCTGAATTATGGTCCCTGATTGTTCGAATTTAATTTCGAATGTTATGAAAAATATTGAGTAAAAGTTCAGCTCCTTTAAGATCAAAAAGGATATTTATAATTATATCAATTGCATTAAAAACAAATCTTTCTTATAACTTATTACTCTATATAATACAGGTCGATATTGAAATCAGGTTGAGATGTACTTCTCAGCCTATACTCTTTATATAGATGATAATAGTGTATAACTGAACATGTGCGGTGTTTTTCTGTGATTTTGTTATCAGTCCGAATATGATAGACATTCCTCACAGATGCTAAATATCAAGAAAACACGTGTGATCTGGAAATAGCGACCACTAGTTCCATTTACTGATACGTACTGGTAGACTACATCAACACCCTATTCACAATCAACGCGGCCATATTGACCAAGAAATTTTGGCTAACGTACTGGATTCATTAAAGATATATATCATTATTTTTTATCTCCGGAGAATTTAGGCCGAATCGGCAAAATCTAAAAAGACGATTTAAGCCTAAGCAAGTGGGCATAATAATTCGACATGCAATGGTTTGAAAGAAAAAAAATTCGAACAATCATTCTTGGCAACAACAAAGCAAGTTCTTTAGGGAATTACTTTATTCACTTATTTTTGTGAATTCTGTTATTTGGTTGTTGGCCTTGTAGTATGGTTTCATTCCAATATATTTCCAATTGGGCGTTAGCTATAACACTTAGCAAACATGAATTCACGCATTTCCCTTTAAGTCAAATATTATAGTTCTTTTATTTAACCTTTCTGTATGGTATACTGAGTCAATCTAATTTTGCCAGTGAGTGTCGCTGAAAGGTGAACTCACATTCGTTATTTGTTCAAAGTAGATTGTAAACTTTTAAACAAATCTGCTAGTACATGGAGATATATATATATATACTTTTAAAGATCCAGTTTACGGGTTCTTCGTGTGTTATTTATCCTCTAGCAGGTCAGTTTTTGGATTTTCGATACTTTAGCGTGTCTAGGGTAATTTTGAATATGATGGCATTTATATTCTTGCTGAAAATGATAATACGCCTTTAAAGCCCAAATAACATTTCGGTGAGTACCTGACCCATTCTTCCTTCCGTTTGTCCGCTGAAAATTGCAAGTTTGCCGTTTGCTTTAATACAATGTCAGATATCTCTATAATTGAGTCCATACGAATTACAGTTGTGATAATTATCAAGTCTGAAACCTCATCTATTGTGTGAAAACTATTTCGCATCCTAATATATTGGAATTAAAAGTTCAGAGTTCGAGCGGTATAGAACGACACGTGTCTCATATATCGCATATTCCTGAATATATCGGTGACCCGTTATTAGTTTTAGCACAAGAAGAGAGTGATTTGAAATAGTTAAAGTTAATCTGGTGTATTGTGTGGTGGTTATTGCGCAATGCCCCAGTTTGACGTGGACTACGAATGCTATGGATCGCTCCGAATCGCAACTTTTTCCGATTCGCAGATACATCGTGGATGATTCTTGATATTCGTAAGTGATTTTTGATACAAAATCGTCAAGAATCGTCCCGAATCCAAACTTTTTCTTATTCGTAGATAAATCGTAAACTGTTCTTGATGTTCGTCAGTGATTCTTATTTGGCCCTTACACATTCGTATTGTTCGTAGTAGCTCGTAGTTCGGCCACGAAAGTTTTTGTCTGTAAAAAACTTTCATGGACGGTCTACGAACAGATGTATCGTAAACCCTTCGTAGCCCTTGCTTATCGTCCGTAGCAGCTTCCTATTCGATTCTATACCGAATCGGCATTATTCGTGGAGAGCGTAGTGTAATCGTAACTGTATTCGGCATATTCGTAACTCATTCGTAACTGAATCGCTTTAGTTCGTAGAGATATTTCTTTCATTTGGTGGAACCCTACCTTGACATCCGGCATATTTTCAGCCGATTACTCACGATTTATCGTAACTCTTTCGTAAACTATTCGTAACTGTTTCGCAGCTACTCTAGATTTTCTACGATCTTTTTGATTCTTTTGCCGAATCGCCATGAATTTCGATTCGCCACTACTCGGGGCGATTGGTAGCATTCGTAACCCACGTGAAAGCCAGGCATAAGGCTAAGTTCGCACAATGAATGAATATCTCTGCGTATATGAAAATTTAAAATTCGGAGAAAATTCGCCAAAATTTATAAGATTGACTGAAAAAATGCGGCCTTACAAATGTTTATCGATGCTTGCGAATTTCTTACGAATCACTTGCGAATGCCCCTGTTGAGCTTGCGAATGGTTGTGAACGCCTCACGAATGGCCACACAACGCATGCGTGGCGTATTGCATATAAACCCCTTGCCCATACTTCTGCTTTGTCATCTATGCTGCTCTCACACAATGGTGAATATCGTGGTGAATGGACTTAAAAATGCAATTCGTAATGATCACAAGATGGCCGCCAGACATTCGTAGATGTTCGTGAGCATTCGCGGTCATTCATTGGACGTTGCGAATAGTAGGAACAGGCTCTTAAAGATTTGCTATAAAACCACATTCACACTGCTTTCGCAATATTTTCGTAAGCAATTGCAATCTGTCGACTAAGCTCCCTTCTAATGTTGTCAAAAAAATATCAGGGTGTACATTCAAATTTGTAATTTTATAAATGATAAAATAAAACATCATTATTTTTATGAACTATGGTAGAGTGTCTAACAAAAAGCACTTAACGTCCTTACAAAGGCCCCCTTTTGCTTGGGCTATAAAGTCATTTTCACAATTAGCCTCTCGAGTGTTAATTCCACTGATTATTTGATATTTCGTGTCTTTAAAAAGGCGACCAAGTTTGATCTATTGAAAATGGTATTTGCCTCTGTAATAATGAAGACATCATAGTCTATTAAAATAATACTAATGCAGTGTTTACATTCATAGCTCAATATATCAGTCACTTCTCCGTGAATATATTCATGTAATACATCTTTAGTATATTATAAATTCATTAAAATAATATCCGAGGCGAAGTTCAAAACACCATTTTAAAAATACGAATGTATTAAAGAATATGATCGACTGAGAACCTTTGATTTAGGTGAAAATATAAATTATTGGGTGACTTGATCTGATGTATTATTTTGATTAGTGATGTGGTCTTTGGTCTTTAAACAATCTTGGTTTAACCATTAAGAATAATAGTAAAAGGGTGTATCTATTTTAAAACCTACGTAAACACACTGTAGAGTTGAGAATGTCTGGTATTTGCAGTATCTTATTACTTACACGTTATTAATAAACACCTCATTTTATCATATGATAGAGACTACAATGAGTCTTAATGGGAAACAACAACAACACATACATTTTTTTTTTAGCTATGTTTGTAAACTCCTCAAATGTATTCTACGGAAGACCATTAGGGTCAATCAAATGAAAAAGAAATATTCTGATTATTTTGTACACGATATCTATAGCTATCTTGTAATTACAAGATAACCATTGATCGGCACATTCAGGTCATGCTCCCATTAATATCATTAGTTATTTCGTGCCCTCATTAAATACCATTCATTAAGTTCATACTCTCATTAACTTCGAATAGTCCCACCAACTTCATACCCTCAATGATATCATTTATTAATGTTTCATCGATTCATGCTCTCTTAAATATACTTTCCTGCGTACAAACT